AGTGTACTCTTTTATGCTATATATAAGAATTCTCTTGCTTTGTTAATTCTTATCGTTTCTCTGGTAGCCATAACCCAAGTCTCACATTATAAGCTTTGTAAAGTCCTTTTGATTCTAGGTATGGCACTAGCCTACATTAGTGAAAAAAGATATGAAAAACAAACCTATGGGATTTGACCATCATAATTGGAGATAATGTTCTTATAATTTTTCTCATTTAGAATAAATTAATTTGAATATCAAATGCCAATGTAAGATTAGTATTGCACAAACACAAGAAAAATCAAATTTGAGTTGGAGTAAATTCTTGCATTGAAAGCTAAACTTGTATGATATTTTTGTTTTTCTTTGTGCCGTGTATTTTATGCAATCTTTGAGACAGTATTGAGAGTGAAATTTGGTTATACATTCATTCTTTCATTCTTTAATTTATTTTTTTGCTCAAGGTCTAGCAAATTTTAAGTTTGGGGGTATTTGATAGGATTAAATTTTATACAATAAATATAACTCTTTGACTATATATTTAAATCTCTTTTAATTGTGATTTTATTTGATTTTATATGTAGGGACGAGACTTTCAATTGAATTAGATAAATAAAAAAGAAAGGAAGTCAAGTCCGAGAATTACTCATATAAATGGAGTTGCTGTAGGACTAGAAGATATTTATCCTTTATCATAATAGGATTTGAACACTTCAAGCTTTAATCAAAAACTGCTGATCAATCTTCACTATAAATAGAGTTTGGGACAGAGGAGAAAAAAAATCAAGAAATCAATAGATAAAAAAGAAAAAGAGAGAATGAGCAACATTAGGGATATAATTTGGAGAGAGTAGCTGCTTCATATTAGTGTTTATCTCTTAATTTTGTTTTGCTTAGGCTTATCTTTTCTTATTGTTTTTCTTCTCAAATTTTATTTCTTTTCCTGCATCTTAGGAATTTTACCAACTTTGGTTTTGGTTTTATTTTGGAAGACTTATCTTTTTTATTCACTCTTGTTATTTATTTTTTTATAATTTTCTTTATGTTAAAATTTTTATTGATCTTGATTTTTAATTTAGGCATGAATTAAATTTTAAATCTAAGATTTCAGTGTAGGTCATACCATAAAGCTTGATATTTTTCCTCTTTTTGCTTTGTTGTCTTCTCTTAGATATGTTGGTTATTCTATTTGTACTTGATATGCGCAAATAATTGGCCACCAATTATTTAGTTGAAAACTAATTAGGTGATTAATAACCATTAAGGAACCTTACGGGGAAATTTATGGAAATTTTAATGAACTTGGGAAACTGATTTGAAGATCTATACTTAAATAGATTAACATAACCTAAAGCAACTTGGGAAAGGGATTTAGGGGATGTTAATGCAACTAGGAATAAGAAGTTAATATTCAACCTTCGTTTTAATTAAATGGTTAGTAACCTTAATTAACCGTTAGAGGAAAATGAACTTGGAAAAAGGGATTTAAATGTCCAGACTAAATAAAATAACATGTGTATGCGTGAGACAAGAATATAGTTGCATTGCATGTGTAGCCATTAAAGAAAGCTTGTGCTTAATGAATCCTTGTTAGATTACTCACCGTAGCAATATAGGAGTTAGCTAGGAAGGGTATGTTTAAATGACCGTCGAAAGATGCTAACAGATAAATTAGTGCTCTTGGTCAGTAATATAATTAATGAATTTTAATCAAAGAGAGCGGAGTAAACTAAGTGAAGTTGAGTGAAATTGTAATCTTAAATTTTAGTCATTTTGAAATTCTTTTTGTTACTTTATTTATTGCCTTTAATTTTTTTGCTAAATTTTTATTTGATTTTACTATTCAATTAAATTTTAGTCATTTTGTTACTTCATTTATTGCCTTTAATTTTTTTGTTAAATTTTTATTTGTTTTTACTATTCAATTTGTTTGCTCACTTTCAAATTTTAGTTGGTCAGATAAAATCAGAGTTAAAATAATTTTAATAATACATTTTCAATATCGCAACTGTACTACATGTTTGAACTTGAAAATTTTTTCTTTATATATTGATGGATATTTGTAGTTTTTACTTTGTAATATTTAATTTTAATATGAAATGTAACGTTGATTCATGAATTTGAACTATGTGATTATAATTTTTATTTATGATATTAAAAAAATTATTATTTTAATTATACATATTTTTGAAAAATTTTAAAATCTTATATCAACCCTAGACCACACCGAATTAACCTATATGGGTAATCCACGATCTTAGAGAGCTGTGGATTGACCCTCAGTTAAAAATTTTCAACCAATTCTATATAGGTGGTCTGTGATCCTTACTTTAAAAACTGCCCACCTGTACATGCTCATCCCTGCTAAAAATCCAGTTGAGCAAATCACTTTTGTTATGATTGTAATTAGAGTTTGCAAAACTACTCCGAACTCAAAAATTCGTTTGAATCGGTTTGTGTTCGAATTGTATTCAATCAAAAGTGATAAAAAAAAAAAAAAAACAATCAAAAATTGAGATCCTAAAAAATTTAACATAAAAAAATTACAATATAAAAAATTTTAAAATTGATACAATACTGATCCCTCATAACTTAAATTCTTAATGATCTGAATTCAAAATCGATCCAATCTGAAACTCATAAAAATCTAATTATATCCCGAAAACCCAAACTATAATTATATGATTTTATTTTAAAAAAATAAATAAAAGATAGATATTTTTTAAATAAAAATTTTAAAATATTATTATTTATAATTATTCAATAATTATATCAATAGTTTATTATAAAAAATTAATATTGCATTTTTAAATTCAATTATGAAATAAATTAATTTTGAAACCCATTAAATATGAATATCAAATGATTTTTAATACTATTCTTATTATATTTACAATAATTATAAAAATAAAATAAAATCATTAATTTAAAATTTTATTTCATTAGAAAAATAATCAATTATAATATATTATTGACTTGTTTTAATATTAGATAAAAATTTAATAAATTTTGATGTTTACTTGATTTACTAATATATATTAAAATTAAAACTACGATGACGATAGAATTAATTATTACTAAAATAAATTTAAGTATAATTTAGAAGTATATTATAATAGTAATAATTTTAATGCAATTAATTTTTGTACTTTATTGATATTAAGATTAATTATATTTAACTACACTTGTTGAGTTTAAAGTTATTAGTAGTATACTAATTAATTTAATAAGTCTACCATTTAATATTCTAATTAGATATTTGATCAATTGGTGCATATCCAATGTTATTATATCTATGTTAATGTCAAAATATCAAATTTCTGATCTTTTAATAATATTTACTATTCAACTTTGTGAATTTTGGTCGATTGATGTAATGTTTATATCCAATGTTATTATGTTAATATCAATTGGTGTATAAAATTTTTCTAATTCAACATTCAAATTGAACATTTAATCAATTATTGAATATGATTATATTTAATGTAGTATTGTTAGTATTATAATTCATAACACTAAAAACAAAATAGATATAAGGTTGAACTAATTAATTAGCTAATTATTCATATTAAATATTTTAGTAAATAATAATTTATTTTTTTAATAATATCTATTATTTGGCATTATAATTGACCGATTGGTAATTGATAAATATACTTATATCTAATGTTAATATCAAAATGATCAAATATTAAAATTAAATCAACATTATATCAATTAATTTTTACATGTCATGGTTTTTTAAAATTTTTAAATATTGATTATTATGATTAAACCAATTAATTGATAATCTTTTAATATATGTTATTTAGTATTTTAATTGAACATTTAATTAAATCAGTGTATATGATTAGATCTAATGTAATTATATAGGTATTTTATTTATTTCCAAACAAAAACAAAATAAACGTTAGAAAAATTCTTGAAATTTTAAAATGTGTGTTAAAAAATTATAATATACTGACAAAAAAGCTAATAAAATAAATGAAAAAAAAGTTGTACTAAGTGGCTAAGGTCAAGTGCCTAATGGTCAATGGGTCATTGGATTAAGACTTAAAGCTAAAAAATCATTTATATAAATATTTGGTTTCATTTATAATTTGTTGAGTCATTGAAATGATTTTTTTTATGTAGCCCAATGGTTTCGATCCTTTACTTTTTATACGTTAGATTTATGTATTTATTTATCTATTTGAGCTTATAAACTATATTAAAAAAAGTTATGGATATTATTAAAATACAAAATTATTATATAAAAAATATTTATATAAATATTTTTAAATTTTTTAAATTTTATTATGTCTATCATATTTTTATTTAATTTATAACAAGTAAAATTATTTATTACATTTGAAATTATAAAAAGGTCTATAGTTTATAGATTTTCAAAATAATTCGATTTGTTTAAGCTCACCCAACTCGAACCAAATAGAATCTGAATTAATCTAAATTCAAAATAATTTATATTTAAGATGATTTGAACCCGAAAAAATCATAATCTAAAATTATCCAAACCTGAAACAATACAAATTCAAAAAAAAAATTATAATTGAAATAATCCAAATCTTAAGACAACCCAATTCAAAATTATCTAAACTCATCTATTTGCCACCTCTAACTGTAATATCAAAAAATAATGTATTCCCTAAACGTTTTTTACTTTTTTGATATAATCACTATATAAAAAAATACTGTAGGCTACTATGAATCGGCCCCTCGTATACAAAATTTGTGTTCGCCCACGGATATTGCCCATAACCTTGAATTGCGAATATGCAAGCAACAGCCACGAATGTCCTCCACTGTTTTGATAGTAGGTCAAACCTTTATTTTCCAGACTTTCCAAATCAAAGTTCAAGTCCTACCCAAGAAAACCCTTTTTTTTTTTTTTTTGGCTTTATTTTGTCCCCATCATCATGGCATATTCATGAACTAGTAAAACCAAGTAGTGAAAAGATCCAAGATGTCAATAAATCAACCACATAAAGCAAGGCATTTTGTGACAAGCAGAGGAAACGTAAAGTAATTTCATGTGAAATTCAACTATAAGTGTCTTATAAAAGCATGAATCCATAGTATATTCAGCAAATGCATGATGCAATTCATTTTATTGGTTCCTAGTGGAGGAATTATGAGGATGATTATTTAAATTAAAATGTCATCTACATTTTACTTGGTAGAGGGAGATACTTAGTATGACGGCCTTGAGCAATAATTTTCCCAGTATTTTTCTTCCTAAGTTCAGCACTGAGAACAGCAACAGCCTTCCCAACACGCAAAGCCCTTGCTTCTATCTCAATTTCCTCCTACATAAGCAAAACATTATGCACATTCACAAAAGGCTTATATATTATTTCACCAAAGGTTGCTGAAAAGAACCCTAAATCAGAAAAATTACCTTTCTTGCTTCTACTCCTATTTTAATCTCCACAAAAGAAGAAAACAACTCATTTTTTTTTTTAAAGCAGACAAAAGAAAAGACGGCAATACAAGATACTAGGTAGTTGAACTGGTTTTCTTTTAACTTTTGCACTGTAAAATTCATAACGTTACAACACCCACCTCTCCCATGGGTCTTTCCTTTTTCTTTTTGTCTTTCTGCCTTGTCCAAGATAGTGAAACACAAGGTGCATAAAGAAGACCATGATAATATATTTCATTGAATATTTTAAATGTGTATATTAAAAATTCCAAGAAAAGTTGAAAAGGATAGCACTTAACTCTCATGATGATGAATTTCAAACACATTTACCATAGAAAGAAGATAGAAAGAAAAGAAATGTCCAACAAACAAAAAGATTCTAAGGACGCTTCGGTATGAGCCATTCCAAGGCACTAAATGGGGCCTCTTTTTTTTATATATTTGAGGTTACCAAGGCTTAACCTCTAGTTATTGGAACTAAAAGTCCAGTACACTATCAACAGGCCATACGATTTATCTGTGGTATTGCACATTGTGCCACATAACAATTAGGAAATGTGCAGCAATCTCGACAATCTACAGTTGATGGCCAAGAAAAACTTAGGTGAGGTTCTTTAGGTCTAGTTCCCATGGTTCCACATTAAATTTGAATAAACAAAAGCTAAATTTGGAAATTAAAACCAATAGATTGATAAAGTTTAATGAGAAAATCAATAATATATAAAAAGTTTATTAAATTTAGCATCTAGGCACAAATTTTTTTCGTAAATGTTTATTGATAATTCTATAATTTTATAGAATTATTGTAGTCTTTTAAGGTGAATTTTTGCTTAATTCTCAAGAAAATGAAGAAGATGTACTCCTAATTAGTGAAAATTCTCATGTGTAGGAAATTTTATTGTTTCGGAGGAAAAGGAATGAATTTAAAAGATTTAGAAGCAATTTGATGCAATTTGGAGGTGTTTTAATCTCAATGGCCGAATATTGTGCTAGAAGATGTAGTAGCCAAGTTTGATAACTTTTGAGCTGGAATTGGAGTTGATTTCATGTGCATAGGAGATGGATAAGTTGAATTTAAGTAATGTTTTAAGTGTTTAAAATGCCTAATTATTTCCTCAAGGTAATTAAATTGTGCAAGGTCTTGCAGAAAGTGCAAGTGAGCTCGATGGGACGAGAAATTATTAGGTGCGGTTCGGAGGCTGTTTAGGAGCTGAAAAATAGCTGATTTTTTGTTCCAAAATTATTTGCTGAGTTGGCATTTTGAAGGTCTCTCATTAGCTGAAAATGTGTCACAAGGATCACCAAAATTGAAGCTCAAATGAAGTTGCAAAGAGGAAGATAGGCAGCTTGCCGAATATGTAGAGAAGTTTAGTGGTGCTAGTATGAACATAAGTGAATGCCAAGAGTTGCTGCTGACTTGGATTTTTGGAGGCTTCCCATTAGTCCTTTGAAGATGCATTTGGATCTAAGAAACATTTTAAGCATGACTTGAAGAAGAGGATCTAAGATGATGCACACATGTGATTTCTATAAGGAATTTGCTGAGTTGGAAAAATCTCTCCAATGTGGCTGGTGACTTGGCATTTTCAAGGGAGATGATTAGCCATTCTAGATCAAAATTTGCCTATAAATAGAGGAGGAGATGGGCAGCTCCAAGGAGTGGAATTTTCAGATTTCATTTTTTTCATTTCATTTTCTTTTGTAATTCTCTCCAGGCAGCTCTCTCTTCCTCCATAAAGAACGGCCTGTTTGGATGAGATTTTCTTCATTTTCTTGTACATTTTCCTTATGTTTACTTACATTTCAAGTTCATTTTCAGCCATTTAATTGTTTTTTATATTTTAATCTTGTTCTTTACTTCAACTCAATGCAATTTTCTTTCAAGTTCAAATGTTGTTTTTGGTTTCCTGTACTTGAGTACTTGCGGTTTTTGATGCTTTTCTTTATGATTTCTTTGTGCAAAAATTCTGAGATTTTACACACTTGTTTTTGACTCTTAAATCAAAATTTTGAGTTCAAATTCAATTTATGTTGAGAGCACTAGAGTTTAGAAGTTGTGGTTTCTCTGCTGGCCAGGGGTGGTGGCTGCAGTTTGGCTGTAGATCCAGCTGATCCATGTTGAGTTTTGATCCATTTTCTCTTTTGTTTACTCTTCAATTGCTTTCTTTACATTTCATGCAATTGCTTTGTGATTTTTGAGTTTAATTGCTGTTTGGTTATGTTATTCTCTGTTCAGTATTTTCTGTTTTATTGAGTTTGTTATCTTTGTCTCTCAGCTGATTTTCTTTCATGATCATGCAATTTACATATTATATTTCATGTACCTAAGTTTATTTTAGTTCAATTTCTTGTTTGATAAGCTTGATGTTTGATTTAGTTTGAAGCAATTTAATTTCTGTTTTGTAGATCTATTTTCGATTCTTAACCTTTACATTCAGCTTTGTTAGTTTTCATTGCTTTAATTTTCAGTGTTCATTAGAACTACTTCATTTACATACTATTTCATTGATGCACTTACGAATTTAGGTCATTTACATACTTGATGCATTCATTTTGGTTTCGGTTTCGGTTTTCCTTAAGTGTTTGTAAATAAATTCTGTTTTTAGGTTAATGTTGTCCGATTAGCTTCTTGCATTTCTATTCATGTTCATTTTCTTTTGCCGTTCATTTTGTGCATTTTTAGCTTAAGTTTGCTTACTTTTAGTTTGATTGTTCAATTGCTTGTTTAATTTCTTGACTTAGCTTATTTGTCTCGACTTGCTTTTACTTGTTTTACTTAAAATTTACTTGCATTCCTTAATTTAGATTACGTATTAGATCACTTCTCTTTAAATAATTGGAGCCAAATACAGTTGAGGTGTTGAACTTTTGTAATTAGACCAAGAGATAACTCAATCCTCATGGGATATTACTCACTCTATTATTACTTGGTACAATGTCTTGATCATAGTGAGGAGTCATGAATCCCATCGAATATGTACTAGAGTTAATCTTAGCATACAAATATTCGTATCATCTTTAACTTATAAAATGCTTTTTGTGGGATAAAACCATGAGGTCTAATGGGCAAAAATGGACAATACCTTGCAAGTTGATGTAAATCGTGACATTTGGTATCAAAGCCAGCTCTAGGGTACTAGCAATATGCCACCACCCTAGTTGGAGTGGGGAGGATGTCATGGTCTTAGAGAAAAGCCATGAATCCAACATCAACTGTGTACTACGATTGGTCTTGGGATATAAGTGTTTACACCACTTTCAGTTTGTGAAATATCTTTTGTGAGACAAAACCATGAGATTCAATAGGTCAAAATGGACAATACCTCACAAGTTGGTGTTAAACCATGACAAACAACCTATGCACTTCAGAAGTTAGCCATCATTTATTGAATGAGAAAGACTTTGTTAGAATTTTCTATTAAAATACTTATTCAGAAAGGTATCAAAACTTATTTGAAATTTTGTATACTTCAAATATGTAGTATTAGCTAAAAAATATATGTAATAAGATCTATCTACCAGTTTGGTTTTCAATTTTAGTTTTTATTATATTGTTCTGAAAAAAAAAATACTTATGAACCTGACTTAAAGAATCTTAACAAAGTTTTGCCTGACTGGCCAGGGTTTTGAAAAGGTATAACACCATTATTTATGGTAAGAGTACCTCTCTAGTACCATCCACACACTCAGTCAACCCTCTTTTAGCTTTTCCCTTTAATTTGACCATCAAAGAGGGAACACCAAAGCATACTCTAGTGCCCCTTTTAGCGTTTCTTTGTCTTACAAGATCTCTTACTCTCAGATTAGGTCTAGATATCAGGTTCACTCCTCAATAATAACAATCTATAGTGTTTTAGGATCTAACACCAGCGAAGATTCCCTAATTCACATAAAGTTTATTTCCAATATCAAATTTGTTCATTCAAGATTGTCTACCATGAAACTGACTAAAACTCAATAAGCAGTGGAAAAAGTCTCAACAACTCAAATGGTATTGGAACAGAAACTCAAAAGTTGCAAGCATAGTGTTAACAAAACCGATAACCTGTCAGAAACACAACATCATGAGCAGCAATTAACAATGGTACGACAGTTGCTATGTAGAATTTCAAACCAGCTTCAAATTATTGTCTATCTATTAAACATATAAAACGTGTGTGAGCAAAGGCCTTTAGTTTTTAAAACAAATTATATAACACTAAAACTCGGAAGTATCATATTCTAAGCATCTACACTTATAATATGTTATAAACACAATCAAATAGGCAAAGAAAGATTGAAGAATAATAAAATATATGTATTTAAATATTGAATGCTTTACGAGGAATTAAGGGTGTGTTTGGTGCCCAAGATTATGATAGGATAAGATAAGATAGATATTATAAATAAGATTAGATTAAATAATCTTTTGTACCAAACATGACCAAAGTTTACAATATTATATTGATCAACAGGCAATTTTATCTAAACAACAATGAAAATGTGCACATGCCAGTAATTTTTTATTATTTTTTGAGTAAACATGCCAGTAATTTTTTTTTTTGAAATTATAAGTACATGACAACTTATAATCATAATCAAATATTACATCCATATATAATATATCATTGAATAATCAATCAACAAATTAGAACAAATTAAAATATAACTAAACAATCAAACTCACACATAGTGACAGTTGGACCTAAGACCTCCAAGTTCTAAAGCCTCCTCCTCACCACTAAACCAAAGCCTCATTGGCAGAAGGCCTCATTGGCAGCAAGCCAATAATTCGTCAACTTAACCATTTGCTTTTTTTTTTTTGAATTTTTTTTTCATTTTTGTGAATCAATTAGAGAAAGAGGAAATAGATAAACTAAAAGCAGGAGAGGATACTCACATCAGCATAAGCAGCATCCAAGAAAGAGACATTTATCTCAACTGAAGATCCAGGGAAGGGAGCGCCAACAGTGTATATTGCTGCTGAGCTAACCAAGTCCACAAGTGTCACTGTGACCCCACCATGCAAGGAATTTTCTCCGTTCTTTGCACAATAAAAAAAAAAAAAAACCCACAATCATATAAATATTCTCTAATTGGAATGGAACGATACTCCTAGTTTTGATAAATTGCTTTTCTGAGTTTGAAATACCCTAAATTGATGATTCATAAATAGAAGCATCGAATTACCAGCAGACGAGGGGAGACTTTAAAAGAGCAAACGACGCGACCGGTTTCGATGAGATCAACGCTGAGACCATGCATGATTAGGCTTTCGAAGAATCTGAAAGGCAATCCGTCTCCTTCGATGGTGGTTGAATTCTCTATGTATCCCTTCACTTTTTCCACATCCATCCTCTTAAGGCCGCCTCCGATCTCAATAAATCCACTCACTTGTTAGTTACAAACTATTTTTTTCTTAATCCCAACTTCCTTTGTTTTTTAACAAATATATATATATATATATATATATTAAAAATTAAAAAAGCGCAGACACTGTCATTTTTCCAAGAGATGACAGCGACATTTGAGTAGGTGATTGGGAACTCATTGTGGAATTACAAAAACATGCGTATATTATAAATTTTTATTAATTAATGCTATAAAAAAATATTTATTATTAAAAAAATTTAGATATGGTATTTCATGTTGCTTTATCGTATAAAATATTATATTTTTATGATATTTTATATGAAAATTATGTGTAATAATTTATATCAACATAAAAATATAAAATATAATTTTTTATTTTATCTATTTATTGTATTTTTTAAATTTTAAGTTATATTATCTCTGTATCCTTTATTAAAATTGTTTTTGTATCGTATCACTGTATCATATTTTAATTTATTAAGTCTAAGAAAATTAAAATTTTAAATTCATTCAAAAAGGAAATTGATACTGTTTGACTCACTAATGGCCACTCTAGAAGAAAAATGAAGTCTTGAGTTATAAAAAATTGAGGTTTTTGGTACAAAAAATCTCAATTTAAATAAGAAAATTTTGAGAGAATTTAAAAGATAGGAAGAGAATAAAAATTTTAAAAGAATGTCATATATATATATATAATTTCACAACCTTAAAATTCTTGTATAGTTTGTGGAATACTTTACAAGAGCTCAATTGTTAGCTTGTATTATTCATTTGGATCAATCTGTAAGTGCACAAATCATACAAATAATAATACTAACTTTTCGATCAAGATATCATCACATAAAAATTAAGTAAAAAAAATTTTAAGCTAAATATCTATTATCCCTATATCATTTTAAAGTTGATTTAATAAAACAAAGAAAAACATGATATTAAACTAAAAAAAAAAATCAAACAAAGCATGTAACACAAGTACGTATAAAATTGTAAAATGTAAACTCAGTAAAATAAAGTGCAAAAGTAATAAGTAAATTGAAATGCAATAAATTCAACATGATTTAAAGTAAAAACAGATTTTAAATGCAAGCAATGAAAAAACATTGCAAAATCTAAACTAAAATATGAAAATTGAAAGTATAGCAAAATCTAGAAACTGAATTGTAGCTCATAGTTTGAAGTTTAAATGGAACAAATTGAAATGCCCTTAAATTGGAAATTGAAAGAATATTTTAAGAATTAAATGAGGAATGATTTTGTGAAAGAAAACTTGAAGGAAAATACACCATACAGTAAAGAGTAACTAAAACCGAACACAAAAGTGTGCTTGTAACTCATTGAATTGTAAAAGAAAAAAAATTAAATCTACAACTTTATACTGAAAATGAACTTCATTTGAGCTAAGGAACAAGCAGCAAGTTTACTTCAAAAATACAACAAGAAAATCACAATAAATTGGAACAAAAAGAGATCAATGAACTAGCAACTAAATAGTACACTAAAGTGCAGAAAACATAGCATGTTCAGCAAAATTCATCCAAATAGTCATTAAAATCATGAAATAAATTATAACAAAATGAAAATCAGTAAGATAACAAGTAAATCTAAAAGATCAAAGGTTGAAATAATCAAACACTTTGCTAAAAGGAGAGAAGAATCGTACTCAAGCTTGGAGATCATGCTTGGATTGCACTAGATCCAAATTTCAATTTCAATATGCAAGAGTTAACTATATTGATTGGGAACAAATTTGATGCTAATTTTTTATTATGTTAGAGCCTAATGAGCTATGAAACCATGAAAAAAATTTGGAGTAAAAACAAGTATGAAATGATTGAGTTATGATTAGAGTATTACAACTAGGTCAAGGGCAAAAATGTAGAAATAGATTTGAGATTAGCAAGAAAACTTGAAGATTTGAGCCATAAATCAATCAAATTTGCAAGTTTGCCAAAGTCATAAAAAACACTAAAAAATACTTCAGGAAATGTAAAAGTGAAATTAAAAAATGTGACACTCCAATCCCACATCGAAAGATTCTGAGGATCTGCTATGATATATAAGTAGAGCTTTAAACCTAAACTTGTCAGGTGTTTTTTATGGGACAAAACCATCAGACATTTGGGTTAAAGTGAATAATACTTTGCAAGTTAAGTACGGGTCTCCACAAATGGTATCACAGCGATTTAAAATCCTATAAGAGCTAAGTGATATACGGTAAAAGCTACCTCTAGAATCTCGACATTTAGTGTAATCTTGATTCTGTGGTTTTATGTATGGTGTGATTTTGGTTTTGTCTGTATTTTGTGTTGGGCTTGACAAGGATATCAAGGTTTAACAAAAGGAGTTTGTGACATCTCAATCTCCTATTGAAAGATTTTGAGGATCTACTATGATATATAAGTAGAGCTTTAAATCCAATCTTGTAAGGCATCTTTTATAGGACAAAATCGTGAGATCTTCGAGTCAAAGTGAATAATACCTTGTAGGTTACATGAAGGTTTTCACAAAATCAATTGAAAAACAAAAATCAAGGATGTTTGGTTGTTAAAAAAGTAAAATACAGTAAAGGAAAAGGTAAAAATTAAAGAATAAAAAAAATAAAATCCTAAGCTAAAGTCTCCCTAAAATGGCTTACTCTACTCATATTTATAGGCATGTGAATGGTGAATTGAACCCCAAAAAATTTTTAAAAAATATTTGCAAATTATAGGTCTTCTAGAAACTTCTTTGCTTTTTTCTCATCCTTAGTACACTACTAGATGTAGACTTATTTATTCTTCTTCAATTGCAAGCCTTCGTTTCATGTGTTTTGCCTTTTCTTAAAAGTCTAAGTTATAGCCAATGAAAGCTTTCCAATATGCCATGTCATCGCCTCTTGAAGTCTTCTTTTGAATGTCAAAATGTAATGCCCAATTCTTATGCAAATGAAGGTTGCATTCCACGCATTAGTGCACCATTTTCTTTAATGCATATTTTTACAACTACCCTCTTCATTTGACTGCCAAAAATTCAAGTTATTTGATGAAAAGTTTTCTCATTAAAATCATTAGAAAAATGCTAGAAATAAGCTTAAAAAATTATAAAAGAAAAGATTAAGAAAACTCTTAATCTCAATGACACTAGTTTAGGCCATTTTCACAATTTGCATAAAAAATCCTCCAAAAATGTATCCAAATTAACCAAAATTCTTCATTTTCTCCATTTTTACCTACATATGAGCAAAATGTACATTTAGGAGTATTTTTGCCAAAAATCCCAAGGAAAAAACCAAAATACAAGTAAAATTGCATAAAAAATGAACATGAAAAAGCTAAAATTTTAGTACAATCAAATCTCTTGTAACCATTTGTTGACCATAACTGAATATAATAGAATTAGTTAACTAGCTATCTTGCTAACTGACTACTAACTGAATCAAGTCTTGCTTTGGCTCATAACAATACCTTCCCATCAAAAGAATCCTTGTCCTCAAGGATTAAAGGAAAAAATTTTGATTTGTAACTCAAATAAGGTCTTTCAAGTAGCATTTTTAGGAAAAGAGTTACTCCATTAAACCAATATTTTGTTATAGTTTGCCCTTTCCTCTTAGTCATCCTATGATCCAAAATAACCAATGGTTCTTTAGTAAGCATTCCCTCAGAATCCACCAAAAAAAGGTGACATTGGATAGGCACATTGCCTACATGTTTATTTAATTATAAAACATGAAACACGAAGTGAATCTTAAACTCAGCTCGCAAGTCCAACTTGTAAGCAACGGCACCGACCTTATCCACCACCTTATAAAGCCTAAAATATCTAACTACTAACTTGGGAGAAAAGCAAGCAACAACCGACCATTACCTATAAGGTTGAAATTTGACATATATCCAGTTATGAATTTTTTATTATTTATCAAACCTATGCTTATTAGCTTATTGTTTTATCTGATTCTGAGCCTTATCCAAATGAAAATTCAAAAGTTTGATAATGGCCTCCCTTGCATGCAAACTTCTATTAAACATATCAATGTTGGAATCACTAAGTAAATAGGGTTTATGTGTTGGAGCTAGCTGTCCGTAAACCATTTCAAAAGGAGTGTGCTGAATAAATGAGTGGAAACTAGTATTATACCACCATTCTACTAAAGAAATCCACTTGGACAATTGCTTAGGAAATTCCTCTGCATGTACCATAGGTAAGTTTTCAAACACTAATAAACCACCTTCATTTGACCATTGATTTAAGGATGATAGGCAGTAGGCAATTGCAACTCAATACCAAGTAACTTGAACAACTCTTTCCAAAATAAACTAGTGAAAATCTTATCCCGATCAAAGACGATTGAATCTGGCACACCATGGAGCTTTTACACATTGTCTAGGTATGTTATGGCAAAAATAAGTGTGGTAAAATGATATGTCAATAGTATAAAGTGAGCATACTTACTAAGTCAATCAACCATCACCATAATCACTTTTTTTCCAAATGATTTAGAAAGACCTTTAATAAAGTCCATAGAAACAACAGACCAAATTCTTTAAAGAATAAGCAGTGGCTATAGTAATCTTGGATAAGCATTATTGTCATACTTGTTTAGCTGACAAACTGAACACTCTCGATAAATTGTCAAGCTACCTTTTTCATGCCTTTTTGGTACACAACACTAGAAATTCCCTTCCTTGTAACTATTACTCTAGAATGGTGTCTCTTTGCTGAGCTATGAAAATGCTTCAATAAGTCTATCTTCAACCTCAAATCATTTCCCACCATTGACTTACCCTTCTTTCTCAATTGACCTATTTGCCATGAATACTTTAAAAAGAGATCATGAGTGTTTTTTATTTTATGTAACAAATGAATAAGATAAGAATCCTTAAGCCATAAGTTACAAAATTTGGACAATGAATTTGTGTTAACCAAAGACATAGCATAAATATTGGTAGTAGAAACTCTAGATAAAGCATTAGTAGCCCTATTGGATGAACCATTCCTAAAAATTAACTCATAGTCAAATCCCATCATCTTCATCACCCACGTTGATAAACAAGAGTATTAGTTTTTTGATCCAATAAAAACTTAAGGCTCTCATAATCGATTTTAA